TAATACTTGCAAAAATCGAGCTTACAACTTTTAACACCATGCAACAGATTTTTTTATGTAATTCAGCCATACCACGTTCACTAAGATGAGCAAGACGTATATGCCACAGTTTGGTAGTATCATCACAGGACTCAACAGAATGAACTCCACCTACAATGGTACTCCCTAACAATCTGTAAATATTCTCTGCAGTCATCTTTCTTTTCATCACAATCAAAGCTCCTTTAACAATCCTAATGGTTTCCCTATCCTCATCAGCCTTAGGGATAAAATCAATCTTGTGCAAAGTGCCCAAAGAAATCAAATTCTTCTTCAAATTTGGGATATGCCGAACACCACACAACGTCCGAACAGAGCCATCATACATCTTAATTCTGACATCATCAATACCAACAATATTGCAACATCGATTATCACTCAAATAAACAAAACCAGAATCAACAAACCTATATGTCGAAAACCATTACCTATTTGGCGTGATGTGATAAGAACATCCATAATCAAGAGTCCAAGCATCCGTCAATTGAGTCGTTGAAATAGAGAGCATATCACCCTCACTGCAATCAGAATTGTCATCCTTGACCACATTCACAGACTTGGATGAGTCATCACGCTTCTCATCATTCTATTTTTTCAACTTCGGACAGTCTCGCTTCATATGTCATGCCTCCTTGCACTTGTAACAATGAATTATCTTCTTATCCCTAGATTTGGATCTGAAATTCTACTTCCCAGACGCAGTCTTTTTCTTGCTTCCATTCACGGTCTCGATTACCCTTGACATATAAGCTATCAGCTTGAGAACTTTCCCTTGCATTCTGCTTCCGCTGGTTGTGAGCCAACAAGGCTGCAGTAATCTCCTCAACTTTGATAGTCTCTTTCTCATATGTAAGAGTAGTCACCATGTGTTCGTAAGAGGGAGGCAACGAACACAACAGAATCATCGCTTTGTCTTCATCCTCAATTTTCACATCAAGCCGAGCCAAATTAGAAACGATTTGATTGAAGACATTCACGTGTTGCGCCAAATCATGATCATCCTGCATCTTCAGCCCATACAGCAGCTGCTTTAGATACAGTTTAGTCGTTAAGGATTTGGACATAAACTGACTTTCCAACTTCTTCCAAATTTCATATGGAGACGACAGATGCATGACGTGATACATGATCTAGTTCACCAAACATAATCGTATGGTTTCTTCTGCTCGCAGCTGCAATTCTTCCCAATCTTCCTCCTCCATCGACGTCGGCTTTATAGGTCGCAAAGCCATCAGGATCCCTTCCTGCACCAATAGATCATTCACCCTTGTTTACCATAATCCGAAGTTACCCTGACCATCGAATTTTGCAACTTCGAATTTGGCTCCTGACATCTGATACCAATTGTTGAATAATCGGGTAAATAAAAAGAAAAGAACACAAGAATTTTAATGAGGTTCAGCAATGTGCTTACGTCCTCGGTGCCCTAGGCGGCGCTAGAATTTTATTCAATATCTCGTAGGTTTAGGTTACATCTCCTTTTATAATAAATAAACTTAGGTACATATTTACAAAAATAACCCTGCAAACCCCCGCACCCCAATCCACATAATCGTAACCCCCACTACGAGACTTTCTTTGTAAGGAAAGATGATGTTCGCTTCGCTCACTCCGCTCCATCCTCTGTCCTCTTTACCGGTATATTTATGAGCCATACCTAACACCAAGTCATTGTTTCGCCATCCATTCATGCATGCCTTTACCTTTTATTTTCTTTAGCGCTACTTCTTACCTTGGTAAATTATAGTTTGTTAACTTGATTTTCTTTTGGACCCTCTAAAGCTTCTTAATTTGACTTTTTTTGGTGTAGATTTGTATCTTTGTATGATAAATTTAGTAAAGACTTTTTAGTTTAAATCTCATTAATTTTTATTAATATAATACTTTTATTATGTTTTTTTCTCATCACCTTCATTATATTTTCAACCAATTATATATATATATTCACATTAATTTTGAGTTGAATCTTGCCAAGTTTTAGATACACATCTCTAGTGGAGGCGATTGATAAGGCTGGGATTGGTGGTGTTTTATGTGACTCAAGGAGATAGATCATGAAGCACTTGGGAGCTATGTTCTGGAATTGATGATCTTGTTCACGATATGGGTACAGATAAAAACAAAATGTTTATCTGTCGTGGACAGATCAAACATAATCTTTATTTTATTAAATCAAAGATGTTATCTCACTACTTTATAATGTTTTGTCAAAGTTTTTTTATTGCACGTTTACAGTATAAAGCTCTTGCGCTCTTCAAACCATCACCAAACCAACTCTCTCGTTTCGGATGAGTTAACTTTTTTGTCATTGCCAACAGAAAAAAGAAATAGTCTGATACGTGAAGATACAGCAGGAGAACTAGAAGAGAGACTCTTGTGCTCTTCTGAATATGATTTGGGGATCATCATCGGTTGAAATGAAAATGAGCGAGTCAAGGTTGTGATTTGGGAGTTAGTTTTTGAGAATAAATGGGGTGGCGATGCGGAGAAAAGTGGAGATGTAAGCGTGGTGAAAGAGTTGTCGGTAGGGGGAATCTCAGGCGGTTTCCCGTTCGGATTTTGTTTTATTCGAACCCTGCGTTTTCTCTCCCTTGGTAGAAATAACCTCTACAGTCCACTTTCTTCTCAGGCTCTCTCCCCATGTTCTCATCTCTAGGAGATTGATCTCTCATAAAACTTGTTCATTGGAGAGTTACCGGATTTCTCTTTAGAGTACTAACTTTTTAACAAAAACTTCACTAATGATATCCCCTTAGATTCGCAAGGATTCTCGCAAGGATTCAGTCTGTCAAAGTCCTATCACTTAGGTTTTCCATTAAACTGAGCAAAAATACAGAAGGCCGCCGGGGAGAACTGGAATGCTCCAACCACCACAACAAAAAAAACAAAAGCACAAACATGAGTAATACAAGAGGCAGGCCGATCTTGACTATTTTTAGGCTGGGGTGAAAATAAAAAATGGCCCTTAATATAAAAATAATTTAATAAATATGTAATTTTAAAATTTTTATTAGATTTTTTTATTTAATTAAAAAATAGTAATTCATTACAATATAAAAGATGTCAAAAATATATTTAAAAATACAAATACTTATAAAAAATATTACATTCAATCATTTTTTATGCAAAACCATTGATGATAGTATCAAAATCAATGCTTTCCAATATATTTTTCTTAATACATAACATAACATTTGAAAATAAAAGAACGATCTTATCTAGAATTTGAAAATATATAAAATTAAAAGAAAGAAATTAAAAATGTGGTCTAACTATAATTTTAAGAACAATATTCAATATAATTCAAGCGCCATAATTGATAATAAATAATTGTGACTTTACGTGTGAGAGAAATATGATAAATTAAAAAATGAGAATAATAATTTTCAGATTAATCGTGAAACATGAAAGAGAAAAGAAGCATGCTAATTATACTTAAATTTTTTCTTCTCATAATTTTTTTCTCATTAAGTTTTGAAAAAAAATGTTAATAAATTTTTTTATTGATATAAAAAATCGGGAAAGAGATTTGGTGAATTGATATTGGGAATTTGGAAAGATCAAAATTAAAGAGTTCAATTGAATTTTTTTTTTAATTTTGAGGAAGAAATATTAAATTATAATTTTATGGAAGAATAATTTATTAACGTTAATATAAAATTCAATAAAGATAGTTCACACCTTATAAATTTATGGCGCCCCATTATTTTATTGAGTAAATTACGTGTTTAGTACCTAAGTTATCAGTTTTGGTCTGTTTTAGTACCTAAACTTTCAAATTTTTCAAAATCATATGTAAAGTTTAGTTTTTGTTTCATTTTAGTATCCGTCGTTCAAAACTTTAGTCCTTTTATTTCATTTTAGTACACATTCAAAATTTAACATTAATTTTTAATTTTTTTTTTTTGAAATTTTAGGTACTAAAACAAACAAAAACTGATTGTTAAATACTAAAAGCGTTAAATTTTTAACGACAAATACTGAAATGAAATGAAAACTAAACGTTATATATGATTTTGAAAAAATTAAAAGTTTAAATACCAAAACGGATCAGAACTAATAGTTTGGGTACTAAATTCATAGATTACTATATTTTATTTTATAATTTTTTAATTTATTATCAAAAAAAATATTGTAAAAAAATTATTTTATGGGTCCTGGGTGGGCGCCCCTCCTGCCCTGGCCCAGGGCCCTGACAAGAGGTCGCCAGGGAGAAAACCCAGTCACTCTGTGGATAAATTTTCACCGGCAATGCACTGGAAAGGGTTGTAGCATGCTTTTGCAAGACATGGAGAGGTATTCGATGCTTTTATAGCTAGCAAACTAAGTAGAGGGGGCAGAAGATTTAGTTTTGTTAGATTTGAAAGAAAGATGGACGCCATTAGAGCAATGAAAAGACTGAATGGCTTTGCATTATTTGGACACAAAAACATAGTGGCTTTTGCACATCAAAAAGGTAAAACAGTTGCATGGCGTAAGGTGAGAGAGGAGAATAAAAATATTTGGAGATATGAACAAGCTAACAAAGATATATGGAAGAGGTAGGCAATTTAAGAGTACAAAGAATTGAAGAACAGCAGAAGCTAGCAAAGGTAAGAAAGTACAGAAAAAGAGAGTAACTGGTCAGGTGGATAAGGAAAGTCTATGGAAGTTTAGAAGATGCTTGGTGGGAGAAATGTCATCAATATGCAGCGTTCGTAGCATCGAAGATCGACTTCACACGTGGGGTTTGGGAGAAATTAAAGCTATTTCTTATTTTAATTGAGGATGATGATGTTTACCTTATGCTGGAGGATCTAGATTGGTCTTATTTGAAGGAAATTTTCTTGAGCGTTAGACCATAGACAGAGACTTTAAACATTTCGACAAGAGTGACTTGGTTGGAAGTCACGGGGCTTCCATTTCATTGTTGGAATCAGGCTTCATATAAAACGATGTTGAATTATGGGGTAATTTGGAAGCTTTAGGAGAAAGTGCTTTTCGTTCTCAAGATTGCAAAAAAGTCACGCTACTGATATCTACTAAACATAAACCAGGAATCCACGAAGTAATAGAATTTGAAGTTGACAGTGTTATACATGAGGTGCGGGTGGTGGAGATCGGCTTTTCGGATCCAAGCAAAGATGGTCAGTTTAAGAGAGTAAAGTCAAAGTTGGACAAAAACAAATTACATAAAAATTTCGTAGAGCAATCGGAATTTATGTTAGAATCGGAAAAAAGTCTTTCATCGGGAAATTTATCTCGCTACAGTTGCTCCAATGAAGAAGAAGCATTTAATGATTTAAGCATTGGAAATGATCATATTGATAATGCAGGGAATAAGTTCAATGGGCATGATAGATTCATAGGGGAAATGGAAAATTTGTGCAACTGTCTGTCCCAATGAGGCTTCACCAAACAAAGCAAAGAAAAAGTTTTATCTTCTGACATGGAAAAGACGTTGTTCAGAGAAGAAAACATAAGGGTTTTGGAAGATGAAGAGGTTAGTGTCGGTGCCGCTTTTAGTGTCTATGATGAAGACAAGCTTATAAGGAGGTAGAGATTTTGGGAGGCAGCATAAATGATGGTCTGGCAAACCAAATTATAAGTAAAAAGGCAACTCCCGAGAAGGGCTTTGAGATTATGGATCAAGGGCAGGACTAGGAAATACAATTCCAAGTAAATGTTGGATGGATGACGTGCAATTTATGGGATTTAATAAAAAAAAGACTTACATCATGGGCTGGCACAGGAGGATGACACGGATCTAGATATCTCGGATGAACAAATTGAGGCGAGGCCCAACGGGACTGAGTCATGGGCTGAAAGCGTGGATAAGCAGAATATTAATCCAAACCTAGGAGTCGAGGATGAAAGAGAAGCCAACAGGGAATTAAGCAATAAACGTCTCGATGGAGTTTTGATTGAGAAGCCAAAATGCTCAAAGCATTTACTGAAAAAACAAAAGAAATACAGATCTCTGGCAGATATTCAAGATAGAACCCTGTAAAATTGGGGGGGAAATTCTTAAAAAGAAAAAGAAGCAAGAGAAAGCAGTGGATTCATCTGATCTGGAAGGAAGGTCTCTTTCAGATTCGGATATGCAAGCTAGATGGAATGTTCTGACTAGAGAAGCCAAAAAAACTTTGGAGCTAGGCAGAACTTTGGGGATTCAATTTCTAGGTAGAGAAAAAGATGTGGTTCGGGATATTGCCTTATTAAAAGACTCGAAAGACGGTTCTCAGGAGTTTTAGAAGTAGAAACGTGAAAGGTGGGCCTTAGACATGATGGTCAAGTCTTGGAATATCAGAGGTAGAGAGGGAGAGAGCGCTTTTACTCGAAGTAGATGCGGTGTTTTTTAACAACCTTAGATGGAGCTATTTCTTGAAAGGCAGGGGGTTTAGTTACGATATGAGAAATGATGAAGTCTTCAAATCGTGGATGATGTCTTCTGAAATAGTGTATTAGTGGTATTGGGTATTGGCTTTGAGCGTTTTGTTCTTTCTCCTTCGTAAAAGTATACGACCCTTGTGTTATAGCGGAGCAAAGGCTATTGTGGTGTGACTTGAAGCGTTAAATTGGTACAGTCAATGCTGAGGTTTTTTATGGGCGGTGTCTCCAACGTGGTGCGATGTCGAAGCGAGAGGAGAGGTTGTAGAGGAAGTCAAAGAGGAGTTGAGGAATTCGTCTATTGGGCGTGCTGTGATTATAAACGGTATTGAAACCAATGCAAATTTGAAAAGGTTAAAAGGGGTTTTGAAGACTTGGAAATGTCGATTCTCAAGCACGGGATGTAGAAAATAAAATCAACAAAAATTAAACATGTCCGTTGTGCCTTGCTCGGTCATAAGCCAGTTGAGTTCCAGGAGCTGGTCTTTGGGTTTGAGTTTTGTGGACTCCCATTTTTGGAAGCGTTAAAGCCACCTAAAGGATGCCCGTTTGTTGTACAAGCACTGACTGGGAGGTTCAAGACAGGATTAGTGGGAGTGGTTTGGTTTATGGGGGTTGGTCTGCACAAGAGATGTTATTGATCCAACTAATCTTCGAGTGTTTCATAAATCACTGTGGATGTGGATCGGAATGGACTTTCTTCCCAATGACTAACTGCTTGTTTTGTGTTGATTTTAAATTTTCAAATCAAATTATGAGTGCAAGGTTCTTTCTTGTATGACCGTTGAATGGTGTGGAAGTTGAGAGAGGTAAAAACAGGGTATCAAAGGAGTCATGGAGTGAAGCCACCATGTTTGTGATAATCAAGGTAATTTTCACGGCAAATTCAAGATTGGTTTGAATCTGGCTTTGTTGGTCAAGAGACCTTGGTGGTGACGAAATATTCCTTAAGAGACCCATCAATGACGCCCAGTCCAAGACTGATGCTATTCGTTTTTGCTGGAGGGTTTGTTTTAGTATAGCAGATTATATTGCAAAGGCTAGTTCAAAATATAGAATTTTTTCAAAGCTTGGTAGTAACGCTTCAGATCAGGGGCGTCTATCTTTTTTGTAGGGGTTATGCTTTCTGTTTTCTGGTTGTGGGATTGGGCAGTGTGCTGTCTATTGAGTTAGTACCTTTGTAGTGATGAATTGTTGTCTACTTTCCCTCCTGTTTTTGTGGTGCACTTTTTTACTCCATTTAGGTTAATGAGTTTTAGCGAGGCTCACAATTCAGGGTTAAACGTCTAAAAAGAATTTTACTGAGCAAAAAAAAAAATCTATCACTTAGCGGGAAATTAACGGTGAGATTCCTTCATTTTTAGGTAATCTGATCAAGTTGACCTACGTGGAACTCAGTTACAACCCTTTTAAAGCGAGCCATTTGCCGAGGCTCGGAGATTAGGAACTTGTCGAACCTTGAAGTTTTATGGATAGCAAACTCGAATCTTGTCGGAGAAATTCCAATTCTGATTGGAATCTTATTTCTTCAAAGAATCTTGATTTATCGACTAAATTATTCAACAGCCAAATTACAGAAAATCTATCCAACTTAAATCTCTTGTGATCCATGTCCGACTGGTTCGACCCCGAAATGTAGTCGGTAAATTCGCTTGCCCAGTCTCCTTCATCCCCTCTCAAACTTAAACCTCTTCCATGATTATGACCGAGAGAAATGTAGTCTTCCTCTTTTGGGCTGTTTAAAAAAGATTAAAGTTTAGTGAGTAAATTTGTAGTTTAACCTATTATATTTTTTCTATGAAATCATATTTTGCAATTTTCCCCACTCACTGCAATAGTTCCCTCTCTCTCGCCCTTTGTTTTCCATTCATTCGATGGGTCTCTACCGTGGTTGCACCACCAACTGCCTTTGTACCTTGCTCTATAATTCCGGTGTTATCAATGTCGTCCTTATACTCTGTTCACCGAGTATAGGGCAATGTACTTGAAAGTCCTTTCCAGATTGTGGTGTTGTGTCATTTTGACGTTGTAAAGAATGCCATGAAAAAATAATATCACCGCCACCACGTAAAAACCCTAGTAACCCATCTTGTTTTTCTTTTCCTCTGTCTCTTCTCTGTCAATGTGCGTATCTTGCCCCGTCGAGACCACATTCGCCATCATTATTGGGCCCTACTAACCCTAACTCTTCTACAAAAAACATAACACATCCACTCCACTTGTGTCACTCAATTACTAGCCCAAATGACTTGAACCCAAAACCAGTAAGCCCGCTAACCTCCAATTATCTGCTAGAAAAGCTTGTTATCTACTAGCCCAATGTTTTACTCAATGAGCCTTCACCATTAGCCATCTGATCATGTGTCCAGCGCGACCCAAGAAAGTTTTTCCCATACCTAGGCATGTTTTCAGTCTTATTCCAGGTTTCGAACTAATAAAATCAAGTTTAGAATAAATCCCAAAGTAATTTGTTTAATCTTGTAATTCTACGAAAAAAGGACTAAAATGTGAGAAATGTGAAATTTGAATCTTGGAATGTAAGTAAAGTTGGAAGTCCCATTCTTGTACATGTAAAAGTTCAAGGACCAATACCTTGATTTATTCAAAATACATAAGGTGATAATTCATAAAAACATTACAAATTGATGTAGTTTAGTTAGACTTGCACGTCTAAGGCATGGTAGGAGAGAAAAATTCATTTCATCTCCTTCCTTGGCCCTTTCCACCATTAAAGAATCTTCCTTGAGAATTCATAGATTCTTAAGTCAAATTCCTTTAAATGTAATCATTAAAATACAATTCTAACAACATATTTGGTAAGATATTGCTTCTAGTTTTCATTTGGTACCAATTTGTTTAAGTTTTGAGCTTATGTGTTCTTGTGTCATAAACAAGAGATATGAGAGTTTGTGTATGTAACACCCTATGCCCGACCACGTTATATAATCTGTGTATTCTGAATGAACATTATATTTCGAAATGAATCGGATAAACGAATCATAATCATTCATATTAAGCGAGAGCAGATTGAAATTGAATATTCATCACACATATCACAACATCAAAAATAAACATTCAACATACTCCAAGCAATAAACATCCATGCTTCGTAAATTGCTCATATTTAACTATTAAATATAAGGGCAAAATGATCATTTTACATCTATTCATGATTTTATTAAAATATTCAGCAATTAATATGTTGAATCGTGTTTTATAATATTTTGATATAATAAATTAAGGCTAAATGTTTTTAGCCTTGAATTGAATTTGTTCAAAGTTTCAAAAAATAATTCAAAGTCCATTAAAATAGAATTTGAGCACAAAATTTTTTTCTGTGTACGAAGTACTGATATTGTTCTTATAGTTCCAACGATACTGCATGAACAATACTGATATTGTTCACGTGGTACCGATACCAAAGGTAAGAGAAGTATCGATACTCTCAAGGTATTATCGATACTACCAGTGTTTTCCAAACTGCTCAAATTCCATAATGCAAAATAGGTACAAATACTCAAAGGGGTATCGATACTACTTTACACAGTAGTATCAATACCATGATCATAGTATAGATATTGGTTAGACCCAACGACTAGTTTATTTAAAAATTATAAAGGTAGTATTGATACCCATTAAAGGAGTACTGATACTCCATATGCTAGCCAGTTTTTTTTTTTTTGTAGAAAATTAATAACCAACGGCTCCAAAACATCCATAACTGCTAGAAATGGCCACAAGCTCATTCCAACATATAAAAAAAAGTTAAGAACACTTGAAGAAGGGTTAAGACACCTATCCGAGAAATCAAACACAATAGAAGAGTTTTTCCTTTTTATTTTCCTTTCTCTTATAAATATTAGTGTTTTAGTGAGCTTAATCATGTAAACACCTACCTTTTTAGAGGTTTTCTTGTTTACATTTCTTATCCTTTGTGTAAGGGGATTAGTTCTAGTTTAGCCATTGAAAAACTAGGGAGTTGTAAAGGTCATATCTTTATCATGCAAAAAGAAAGAA